GCTTTAAGAATGCCCCCCCCCCCCCCACCATTGGTGTCCTTGAGGGCGCTGCTGTAGGACTCCGCAGGGCTTCTGTTCTCTCAATCTGTCCCCTGAGGACCTGCTGGAGGAAGTCAGAGCGGGATTTTTACCTTCACTCCCTGTAGGGCCTGGGACTCCTCTCTCTGCTGGACTGGGGCAGCCAGTCCTTAAACCAAGGCCCTCATTTACTGAAATCCTGCAAGCTGAAGTCAGGGGCCATCTGAATCTGTCAGCTCTGCCCTGGGCCTCCTAGGGGTTAGGCTCGGTGCAACCGTCACCACTGGGAGTTAACTGGTCCCCATTTCCTCACTCAGTATCCTCACCTTGCCACGTGACCGGTCCTGGGCCTCCACCTTCAGTGGGCCTGAGTCCACACCTTTTACACCAAGGTCTTTGCTTAAATGGGACCCCAGCGTTAGAAGCCAGGGTGAGCCACATCCTACCGAGGCTGCTGGGGGCCTACAAAGCCTGAGAACAAGGAGGGGACCCTATGGGATCCCACAGTTCTCCACTGGGTCATTAGCTCAGTCCTCACCCAGGGTTCTGATTTTGGCTCAGAGTAGGACTTCTGACTCCTCATTCTAATGAACTGAGTGAACCAGACCCAGATCAAGGTCCTCACTTCTCTTGTAGTAGGGTCCCCTCCCTAAGGAGAGAAAAACAAAACAAAACAAAACAAAAACCTCAAGGCAACTTGGCTATACGGGTACGTGACAACATCCCTCATGACCTTGTAACATGAGACCACTTAATCACTGCATGTTTGTGTGCTCCCATGTATGGGAGACAAAGAAGTAGAAAATATATAAAAAAAACTATGCCATGTGGCATTCGGGGCTCATTTCTTTGGTACGAACCCAACTGAGCGGTGCCTGCACGAATAAAGTTGCTTCCTGGAAAGAAAAGCCTCGGTGTCGCGACTGTGTGCGAGAATCCTGCTCCACTCTGAGTCGCTGGAGGGGAAGCCGGGACAAACCACGTGGGGGACACCTACCTAGAGCCTCCTGGAACTGAGAGCATGGGTAGAGTTTTGGTCTGCCCCCTCTTTTGGGCTGAAGTCGTCTCCTTAGCACTCAGGGTTCTCACTCTGGACTCCCGTTAGGGCTTTGGTCTCCTCTTGCTGCAGAATTGGGGCCACTCCCCTAGACAACACCCTCCTCTCCCTGGAACATTTCAAGCAGGTCAACCCCACAGCTCTGCTGGAACCTCCCAGAACGGGGTGGGGGTGGGGGGCAAGGCCACTGGATGGTTGTGTCAGTCCATATTCAGGATCTCCATCCTCCACTTAAATTCACACCCTTTGGGCCAAGGTCCTCACTTTCCGAGTTCCACAAGGCTGAAGTCAGGGGACCCTCGGTACATCTGAGGCTGTATGGGGCCTTCGGGAGCTAAGAGTGGAGGAAGGGCTGTTTGGGACCCCACTGACATGCAACAAAACCTGGGCTCCTCCCTCTACTGATCGGGGTCCATCAGCCTCACGGCCAAGTCCTCACCTCCCTCGGTCACTAGACTCAGGCCCACGGCATTTGGCCATCCTTGCCTGCTTCTCCTAGATCTGGTCGGACCCTCACCCCCTTTCAGGGGAAGGTCCCCTCATAAGCACTCAAGGTCTCACCGGGACTCCAGTTAGGGCCCAGGCTTCTTCCCGTGGCAAAACCGTGGCCTCCCCACTTAGGCCTAGGCCCTCCGCTCCATGGTGCCGTCCACGCCCAAGCGTGCCGTTTCCCGGTGTGGACGCTAGGGCAGCACTCTGTGGGGCTTCCTTGGTGCTGGGTGTGGTGGTGGCCTCAGTCCACATTCAGAGTCCTTACCTTGAAACCTGAGCAGGCCTGGAATTTCGCCCTCCACTAATCCGAGGCCCTGTCCCTCCGAGAACTCCCTCGCTTCCCAAACTTCCAAGGCGGAAGTCAGAGTGAGCCACAAACGGCCAACACTGTTAGGGGGTTCTGAGGGCTGTCAGCAGGGGAGGATCTACGGCAACCCAAAGATCTCAATCCGCGCCAGCGACTCCTCCCTCTACCCACTTGAGTCCACCAATCTCAGACGCTCCCTGAGTCCCTAGAAGGGGGGAGTCGGAGTGCTCCACGTCGAACTACCCCTGCCACGGGCTGCCAGGCCGGGCAGCAGGGGCGGGGCTCTGGGCACCTCCTCTTTTGGGGAGAGGTCCTCGCTAGGATTCCGGGTCCCCACCTGAGCTCCAGTTAGGACCCGAACCCCTTCCTCTGTAATTGGCACTGCTCCCTTTCTCCCAGGGCCTCCCGAACGAGAGCCCCGGACAGAAGTGAGGAGCTCCTGAGCTGAGCGGTTGGCTTCCCACGATTAAGAACAGGGCGCTGGGAATGTGTGACCCTCTCTGCTGGCCGGGATTCTCTCTTATCCTAGGTCCTCACCTTGGCTCCCGCTAGTTCCTGGGTCTCCTCGCTCTGTAGGATTGGGACCCAATCCCACTAGATCAGGGTCTTCCTCTTTCCAGGACCCTGCAGGCAGGAATGAGGGGGCTCCTCAGCCTGACAACTCTGCCTCAGTCTGGGCCTCCCAGGTTGCGGGAGTCGGGGGGTGGGGTGGGGTGGGGAAGGGGGGGTCTGTGGTGTCTCCTCCGTTAGAGTGTGGGTAATTCCCTGATTCCTCCCTAAATGTCATCACTTTGACCCCTGGCTAATCCTGGGACTGCCCGCCTCAGATCGAGGCCCTTTTCTCCTGGGACTACAGAATTAGAAGTCAAGGGGAGCCAGCTCCCCACCTCCAACGACTGACAGGTCAGGACTCGATGGGACCCCACTGTTCTGGCTGGGTCCTCCCCTTGAAGCCTGTTAGAGGCTCACATTCCTCCCTCTACTACCTGAGGTCGCCCTTCTTAGACCAAGGCTCTCATGTTCCTGACAGCCCTAAAGGGTAACTGGGATACTTCACCTCACAGGCCTGCCTCCAGCCCTATAGGTCTTTGAGCAGCCATAAGCCAGTCTCTGGGGGTTGTCTATATTCTGGAATGTTGATCTCCCCAGTCCTCCTACATAGGGATCCTCGTTTCAGCTCCTGTCTCCTTGATTACAGGCTTCCTGGGAAATGCCACATCTCTTCAACCTCTCGAGCAGTTTCCCGACCATAAATTTTGCAGAAAACGGTTCTTTGCCCCATAGTTATGGAGACAAGGAAGCTGTAACTCGAGATGAGAGGCATAGGACAGGTGGTGTGCAGTCACCAGACTTAGTCTCTTAGGTGACTTCAGTTCTGTTAACTTTCTACAGGGAAGGGGCAGAGCCTCAGGATTTTGAGCCCCTGTTCTTCGGAGGTGATGTGACACTGCATTTGTAAATGAGCATGGGATTGCCAAATATTATCTCTTTGCTTTCTTTATTCATACTCTTCATTTATTATTCTTATTGCTCTGGCAGTGTATTCCAATCCAGGAGTTTGTACACAGCCTTTCTTCTTACTGCCGGAGATACAGTTTGGAGTAGGGAGAAGACGCGTGAATTAGGAGATAACTGGCTGGGATGAGTGGGAGACCGTGGGGATGGTTTTCTTTTTAACGAGCCAGACTTGGGGACTGTGCATGAGAAAGTTGTTTTGTCTCTACGTGCCTTTAACCCACATATTTCGTAATGAAAATGAGCCCCTATGCCCTGGACTGAATGTTTGCGTCTCGCCCGCCCCCAATTCATATGCTGTAATCTTAGCCCTCCAGGGTGATGGTATTAAGGAGGAGGGGCCTTGGGGAGGTGATTAGGTCATGAGGGTGGAGTCCTCATGAGTAGGATTAGTCCTCTCCGGAGAGCACCCCAGGAAAGCTCTCTTGCCTATTCCACTGTGTGAGACACAGCAAGAAGGCACCATCTCTGAAGCAGGAAGTGGGCTCTCAACAAACACCGAATCTGCTGGCACCTGGATCTTGGACTGCTGAGCTTTTAGAACTGGGAGGAATAGTTTTTTTTTTTAACATTTATATTTTTTATTTATTTATTTGCTTATTTATTTATTTATTTATTTATTGGAGGAATAGATTTTTGTTGTTTGTAAGCTACCCAGTCAACAGTATTTTTGTTATAGTAGCCCGAATGGACTAAGACACCTTGAAACAAATTTGACCGCCCACCGTGACGTACATGAAGGGCCACTTGAAGGCTCACCTTTCTGTGGTTACAGGCCAAGGAGCCCTGGTACCTTTCAGTCATGTCTGGAGCGGGCATAATTTTGCAGTAATGGTGAATTATGTCAACATTGGTTGGTGATGCTAATCAGCGTCGTACAGCGTGGGTTTGCAAATTTAGAGAGCTACCTCTTACAGACACTGGCCTCTGCTCCGATGCTTGCACCTCATTCATCTTCTCAAGGTGCTCCCCAGCCTACGGCAGGGTAGAAGGGGATCTGTGCAGCTGGAGAGTTAGTCCCTGCATAGGAATGCGTGGTCACCGTTCATGAGTGACTCTGTGCCGCAAACGGAGCTTGTTCGACAGTTCTGCTGGGAATGATAAGTAAGGTAAAATGTTAATGTCTTTGCCTAAAAGTTAGGATTGACAAATTCTGACTCTTCCTGCTTTACTTTGCCTTACCCATGCCCTATGCTTGGTTGTGAGAGTCTGACTGCATTGACCCTCACAAAGGGAGTTTTGTGGGTTTCTGTCACTGATTCAAGCACTGGGATAGACACTAGGGCTGGAGAGAGAGGGGGACAGAGAGAGGGGGAGAAATAGAGAAAGAGAGAGAGAGAGAGAGACT